GAGTGGAAGCAGTATTCCAGTTGGAAGTTACCGGATTTTTTTCTTGTAGATTCCGATCAACTTCCAGATGTAAAACACAGAAAACTGACCGGAAAACACAGGAAACTGACCGGAATCCACAGGAAAAAAATCCGGTAACTTCCAACTGGAATACTGCTTCCAGTTTCCAGTGCTTTCCCGTGCTTTCCGGCCAGATACGGTGATTTTTCCGCATCTTTCCGGCCGGTTCCTACAGTATCCGTCCCCCGGAATCATTGACCTGGGCACAAGTTGAACACCCAGCCCCCAACAACAACACCAACATCATTGTCCATCAGCCCTCCTCCGTACGTAAAACTACTACAAACTATCAAAATAAATTTTTGTTATTTAACAGATTCGTCCACATCATTCACCATCACCACCAACACTGAATTCCTCCACCTCATCCAATAACACCAAGGTAAGGTTTTTCTTTTGTTTACATGTAAGACTGTTTTTTTTCTAATAGGCTGGCGAGGAATCCCGTTCTATCGATCCAACATCACAAAACCTCAACTCCTTGCCAACAAAAGTCATCATTCCACAACCCCAAATTCAACCATCCACCACCCCCAATCTCATCTTCTCCACCAACACCACGAACATCATCGATAGCTCCGACAACAGCAGCAATAGTAATAATGAAAACCTTATGTTTGTTTTATCACTTTCGTGATATTTTTTTGTTTAATTGTACAAATTCATTAAATGAATAAAGATGTGGATAAATTAATTTGTCTTTTTTCTTTAAAATTAACTTTCAAAGCACTTTTAAACACATTAATAATAACCGATCGACGGTTGAGAATGTTTAAGATCAGTTTCAGAAATAATTAAATAAGGATTAGTCATAAATTTTATAGCTTAATTCGATGCAAAAGATTTCTTTTCTTTTTAAATAAAATAGAATATCTAACGACTTGATAGGGTTTGACATACTTCTTTTTAAGAAATATATTAGCTTTTTTTTCGGAATTAATTTTATCACAAAAACTTCTCATTATGAATGACTTTCTCTAAAACAGTATGAACAAAAGTTCTTGATGAAATGTAACTGAATTCGGCCGTAGTGAACACATGTTATCCATTTACATCGATACAATACTATATAATTAAAAAACTCCAATAACTAATTATCATTATTTTTTTTATTCTCAATCCTGAAAGGATGAGTCTTCGCAACGGAAATTCGTCGGTTAAGATAAGCTACATTCACACGCTACATACAATAGTGTATGTAGCTTATCATATGCAATTAGAACCAATAGAATCGCTGTCCAATGTTTACTCTGATCCATCCAATAATTGTTTGAGGTAAAATAGCTGTTGTATGCTAATATAATGTGATTTGTGCGAAACAAATTAGAAGTACTTTTTTTAAGGATTCTTCTATACTATATTAAGTGTAATGCTAATGCTTAACTAATTAAAAATATTATTTAGGATAAAACTATTAAAAGTTATGGTACTAAAATAAACAATCATACATTTTCAACGGAATCAAGGTATCATTCTAAATTGAAAATAAATTAGGATATATTTAAAATATAAGCAAACTCGTTTCCTATGATCTTATAATAATGAAACTATCGTTTACCTTAACGGGACACTAATACTTTGTCCTCAGAGACTAAGCATTCATTATCGAGTTATGTTTGACATCAACCTCTTCGAAATTTTTGATTTCATACAAACGTTATGATAATTAACTAGCTAGAAAGATGTGTAAAAATTGAACAAGTATTATGAATTATTTTAGAAGGGTATGATCAAGTTTCGAGCGAAAAATGTTACGAGTTCAATAATACGCTAGAGCGTTTCGTTATGTTTATCCTTCTCAGGTTAATCAATTTTTAATCATTTTCGTGTTTTGATATTCACTTTTCTAAATCAGAATAATGTTTCAAGATAGTCTTGTTCATATATAATGTGCGCATCTGGCACAAAAAGACAAGTAATAAAAATAAATTGTTGAAATGATGATGATGCTGTGACTTTTGTAGTAAAAAGAAAGAGATTATTAAAGCAAGCAATTCTTAATAAAGAGATCGAATTATTAAGCCGTTAAATGAAAATATTTATGTATAAGATTTATCTGTTTTGAATTGAAGCAAACATCTAAAACTCGAATCCATATCTGTAAACATTTTTTGAATCTTATCTCAAGTAAATTTTTGATAACTCAAACATTTGTTCGATTTTTTGCTAATACGATTATCAAATAGAAATTTGTTATAGAATACACTTCTTGATTCATCTTTGGGACTGCTCAAGTATTACGTTAGCAAGTTTAGGGGGTAGAAAGTCAACGAAATTCGATAGTTGATTACTCTTGTGAAAGTGAATGTTGCTCAAAGATTACGTCATTTTGGAGAATTTGTGTAGTGCAGTAGAATGAATCACGACATTATGTATTTAGTTGAGCATATCAAACCAATAATCAAAAATCCTTTTATTTGTGATCTGATTACCTGACTCATTCGACTTTTTATATCTATACAACTGTAAAGTAAAGAAAAAAACTTGAGAAGGCAAACAGATTGAAGCAAACCGCAGTGATGATTGTGATAGTGAAAGTGATCCAAATAGTATTATTATTGTACGTGATATAATTGCTACCAATGATGCAGTACTGATTGAAACATATTTTATTTCTTAGCTTGAGATTTCGTTGCAGTTTTTTAATCTTTAGTATTGTAATTCACTCGCGTATACTTATATTTATTACTTTCTGGTTTCAACTAATGCATTAAGAAAATAATCTATGAAAATAAATGTTTAGTAGAATGAAGATGTTCTGCATTCTTAAATTCATAATA